CACATGGATTATACTTGAAATAACTAAATTATGTCTCTCTTTTTTAAAAACTATGGAAATAAGCAACTTGTTTTTACTATTATTATTATTATTTATTACTGTTGTTTTTATTATTATTAAACCTTTAAGAAGATTTTATATAATAAAAATAAAAACATATACCTTTTGGGGAAAAGATATGATAAATATTTTTACCTGGATGATGGAAAGTTAATGAATGATATCTGAAGGTTTCAAGTGATGATTTGCAAGAACAATCACCTTGAATTTACATACAAGCCTTACAAAGTAGCAGTGTTGTGGAAAGAGCATTGATTGAGAATAAAGGGAGCTGAGTTCGGGTTCTAGTTCTGTCTTTGACTTTGCCTGTGGGTAGGTAACTGACTCCTCCCATCTTCATCTTCTTCTCTATAAAATGGGGAGGTATGGATGAAGCTTTGTTTAAACTCCTAAAATGCCATTATCAGCTCTGATTTCAAACTCACCTCATACAGGTAGAGGAAAGCTATCATTACCTAACATTTTATAGAAAGCAAATATAAACCAGGGGTCACCAACTACTGAGACAGTCACAAAACTCAGTGGCAATCTGGTACTTTTTACAGACAAGAATTTCATTTAAACCTCTGGCAGTAATTATTCCATAATGAGCCAGTGAGTTGTGGCAAGTATCAAGTTCATTCCATGCACTAATATGCATCTTATAAGTCTCCTTTACTATCAGAAATGGAGAGTAAGACCCTGAATTGTTTTCTCACCAGCAATGAAACTTCACAACAGGAAAGGGACTTGGTACCACCAGAGGCCACTGCTCTGTCATAGGTGTTCAGTCTGGTTGGGACTGTCCCTCAAACCAGGAAAACCCTGAGGAAGCCTGTTCTACTCTGTGCTGTTTTAAACCCTTAGGTTCCACACCACACCTCAGGTTCCACACCAAAAACTGACCAACCCACCTTCATGGGCCATGAAAGTTTCTATCAAGAAAAATGGAAATGATAATAATAATAATACGTATGTGACAAAAAGTACGCATTTGGTGTTACTTGGAAGGATTATTAAAGGCAAGTCTGTACCAACAGTAGTCAAGCTTTGTAGAAACAAATGTTTCTTTAGTGCTAAAAATCAATTAAAAAAAAAAAAAGAATATACCCCAAACTGTTACAAATTTGGTTTCTTTGGCTGTGATGAGTCACAAAGTTGGTCTACTCTTATGAGGAGATGAGTCAGCCCTAGCTGGGTAAGCTACACTACTGGTTAGAATACTATGGCAAAGTTCAAAATACTTCAAACAACTGAACTATCAACCTCAGTAGGAAATGAACTGTATGAACTATCAGATTCAGGAGAAAACCGGAAGTGGACAGTGACAAAATTAAGACTTTGAAACACCACAAGGGTCATTTCCTGTTTCAGGATGACCCTGTAGTCATCCTCCTGTCTCAGTTTGGAAGCACAGGCCTTAAGGCCCAGCAGTGGGTGTTGGCTCACTCTGCTAGAAAGGACTTTGATAGAACTTGAGAATATGCAGCATAACCACACTGACTATTTTTTTTCAAGCTTCCACTTCCGGAGTGAACAGGTTGGCAGGGAGCAAGCCATTCTCACGTCTACTCCATTTCAGAAGCGGTTAAAGGTGATACCTCTAAGGAGCTAACAGAGTGGACTTTTCTGTCCTCGGGTCCTAATAATCCCTTCAAGATAAAATCAGAGCCCTTCCTACAATAGTCCATCCCAAATATCCACATAGCAAAGTCCTCTGGTCCTCACCAGCACCACGTTTGATAAGCAGGCTCATTTTAAGGTAAGGCTAGCACTCCAGGACACTCCCTGCATGACACTGACTATGGCCTTTTTGTGTGGTGGGTGAGATTCCAGTTGGGTTTTGGGAAAGAAACAAAGCAAGTAAGGATGATGATGTGCTGGTACAACCAATGAGTTCATTATTCAGGTTTGTCTGGTCAGTAATTCTGGACATTTACAATGTTGTGTTTATATGATTCCTTCCACTTTAACATAAATATGTATTTGGCTTGGATTCTACAAAAAACTAAAAATTAATTTTTGCTTTTTAAAAAAAATTACAACATCCTATTTCTTAAAACCAAATTATTTGGAATAGAATACCCATATGTATATGAATATATAATATCCAATTCCTCTTAAAATGCTATTAATATAATAATAATAGTGTTTTTGTTTACATAATGCTTTATTGTCAGTGAAGTGGTCAAAGGTGGTTCTGGGACTTGAACTCATGTAGATTTCATTGCTAATTCATAGTATGTTCAGAATCGCTTCTCATGAAAAGGTCTACCGTTCCCACTTACACATGAGCAAATGAAGAAGGCTCAAAGAGACTGACAGCCTAATGTCACAAGACCAAGCAGAGTCAGAACTAGAATCCATGCTTTGCTCTTTACAACAAGATGTATGATGGACATGTTTATTGCAGCAGTATTGAAAACTGAAACTCGCTAGATGGCAATAGGTGAATGAATGAAATATTACATCAACTCAGTAGGATATTATGCTGTCATTAAAATGATGGCTTTAAAACATAACAATGAGGATGGTAGCTACCGTTTTTTGGAATGCTTACTTTGCAACAGGCACAACACCACCTCTTTGTGTGAACTAAATTTGGTTTCACAATCCTGTGACACAGGTACTATCATTGCCTGTATTTTTATACATGAAAACTGAGGGTAAATCCCAAAGAATCAAAGGCCAAATGTTTTCTCTGATATGCGGATGCTGATTCACAATAAGGATGGAGTGGGGATAAAGGTAATTTGGACTAGGCAGAGGGGAGTGAAAGGAGGGGAAGCAGGTATGGGGGTTGGAAGGATAGTTGAATCAGACATTATTACCCTATGTGCATATATGATTACATGACCTGTGTGACTCTCCATCATGTACAACCAGATAAATGAGAAGTTATACTCCGTTTATGTATGATGTGTCAAAATGTATTCTACCATCATGTAAAACTAATCAGAACAAATACTTAAAAAAAAAAAAAAACCAACAACCCTGAGGCTGAAATAAAGTAAATCACTTGCCCAAGGAAATTCAGCAAATTAGAACACAACTAGCTGACTCTAAAGCAGGGTTTCTCAAGCGTGGCATGATTAGCATTTGGGGAAGGATACTTCTTTGTCATGGGGTATCAGCTTATACATTGTGGGATATTTAGCAGCATCCTTGGTGTCTACCTACCAGTTGTGAAAAAGAAAAATGTCTCCAAACATTGTCAGATGTCTCCAGGGGACAAAATTGCTACAGGTTGAGACCAGGAATCAGTGGCTAAAGCCTTAAGATAATGGTTACATTATGCCATATACTCCAGCCAACATCACCAGTCTTCAGAGAAATGGTGATGAAAGAGACAGACATGGTCATAGACAGGATTCCCTGAGAAACAGGCTGTGAAACTCTGAGATTCAATTCAAGGGGTAGGCAGCAGGGGTATAATATTCTTGAGAATTTCCCCTGTGAGGAAGCAAGAGAATCAGCACTAGGCAGGGGGAGAGTTGAATCCCCATGCCAATTTGTTGAGACGAGTTCCAGCCAATTTCACAGAGAGCCTGAAGCCAGGATGGCTGACTTCAGACAACAGGGTCTGTCCTTTAATCACTCCCTGCAGCCCACCCCCTGGATGTGAGCTACCCACTAGCACCTGGGTGTGATCTAGAGCAAGATTAGCTCCTGGGGAAAGCACTCAGTGAGGACATGACAGCCTCCTAGGCTCCCACATCTGCCCTGTCCAGTGGCAATCCAGGAAGGGCACCACAGCTATAGATGAGTATTTTGATTGCATAATTGTAAATGACTTAAAATGTATGAGTGGACCAAGACTGAAAAGTAACAAGTAAATTGTCATTAAAATGGTAGTACTACAAATAATTCATTTTCTCCTTTATCAAAGTTGAATATAAGGAGGGTGTCATCATACCATCCTCTACTTCTAGAAACAAGTGCTGAGATCTCAGAAAACACAACTCAAAGCTTCAAAATGCCATATAGATTAGTAAGACTATGATTCCAAACCTGCTCATCTGTCCTAAGATGCAGGAAGCTTCCCTCAAGAGCAATGCCAGGTATTGTTCTAAAGTACTTTTATGTGTACTAACCTAAAAAATCTCCTCAATAACTCTGAGGTACGTAACTCCATTTATAACTCCATTTTATAAAGAAGGAAACTGAATTCCCAAGAAGTTAAGAAAATCAAGATCTACACAGCAATAAGTGATAGAACTGAGACTTGAATCTACATACTATGACTTTCAAATTCTGGCTCTTACCAACCCTGCTTGACCACCTCTTATCCTATATGCATGTATTTTACACAGTGTCCCTGAAGTCCCCTCAACAACAGCATTTTAACTTCTGGTTTTAGTTCTTCTTGAAAAGAGAGAGAGAGAGAGAGAGAGAGAGAGAGAGAGAGAGAGAGAATAATAAAGCTGTCAATCTAAGACTACACTGAAGGATAAAACAATTGCTTTTAAAATTTCTAGTATTTTAAGATATAAAGGCATTTAATGAATGCCAATAGAGATTGTGAGAATAAAGTGATGCTGTTTTTCTTTACGGAATGAAGTCCCTCTTCTACTTTCAACACAAAACAGGAAGCTTTATAGATGCCAGTTTGAAGGATGATTCTCCTATTGTCAAAGACTTAACTCCCCAAAGATGTAAGGTTCAAGAGAAAATTGTGTTCAAGTTGATTCATTACGGATCTTGTCTCATCCTCTGGGAAGTATGGGAAATTCAACTCAAATTCATTAACAGTCAAAAATTAATTTCAACAAAAGATAGGTGAACTTTTATATTCAAAAAAAATCCCAATTAGTTAAAAAAATAATTTCTAACTTCAAAAGGTCTTTTTCTTCCCAGAATGACCATGACCTTTATGACAGTCAAGCCCTCTAGAACCTTTGTCCAATAGGAACAAGTTTAGTTCCCAGGGAACCAGGCCTTTAAAAGGTCCACAGGCCAGCTGACTGAATAGATGCTTTATTTGAAATGGAATGCATTTTGATAATATGAAAAATAAATCACATCTCTTCAAAATCACTTGAGACACATTTACACAAATTCCAACCACACTATTAAGTTTGCAGTGTGACAGTTTGTAAAACATTTGGTACATGGTAGTACTTGCTTTCCAGAAGCTATTGTTCATGTGTTCTGAAACTTGGAGTAGAAAACTGACAGCTGATGGTGGAATGTAACAAAGACTTTTATCTTTCTTGGAAAACATGCTTCTCCATTGTCCAATCACCAGCAAGCCAGCTTCAGAGCACTGGGGAGTTGTATGCAAATACTTCTAATGACTAGGAGTCCTTCTGTTTCCTTCATTGTACAAGAATGCACCACCCTACCTGGTTTTTTCTTTTTTTATTGTCTTTGTGGTGCTTGGGATGGAACCCACTGCCTTGCTAGACAAGTGTTTTACTGCTGAGCAACAGCCCCAGCCTCAAGTATGCCCTAAGAAAACTCCGATGGATCCTACTCCATTTGGCAAATATCCTAACAACAAAGTCACAGATCACTTTGTCACCCAATCCCCCATAACTGGATTGGATATTTAACATTGCAGATCCAAAACATCACCCTTCAAAACTGTGTCAAGAATTTTTAGAAAAGAGTTCCTAAAACCTATTCAACATATTTTCACAATTAAAACATTTTAGGTTGCTTTAGGTTAACAGGTGTATTTCTCTAGAAGGAATCACACTGATAGCTGCAATATCATGATACATAATTTCCAAGTTTTAAATTTAGTCTGCTGATGGTATGTATTGATAAAGCAAAAATGAATTAGGTTTTCTCTCTCTCACACACACACACATTCTCACACACACACATACACGCACAAAGCAACTGCTTGCAGACCTCTCCTCATCCCACAAAGTTCTATGTTCCTGGAATTGCTGCGTGCTTGCTCAAGTCTTAGACCCTTCTAAGCCTGCTACTATCATACGGTTAACACCTGCAGCTAAATGATACCACATGACTTTCTGGGGAGGAGGCAGAAAACAAATGATGTATTTGAACAGGCAGAAAAGTTGTTTAGTGTTAGGGCATTTTTAGAGAAACACAGAGCACTTCATGTATGAGAGCAAAAAATAAAATGGATTTTTCAACTTAAGCCAGACTTCATAAGAGTATTTACACATAAGGAGAGCTCCTTTAAGCAATACATAGAGTTTCGGTTTTTCTTTTTCTTTTTTTTTTTCTTGCCATCATTAGAAGTGAAATGATACAAGTTGGCTTGACTCATACATGATTAGAGAATCTCAGCTTGCTCAATGAGGAAAAATGTTCATTTTGAAAAGGCTCTTTTATAGATGTTTATTCACTGACCTCAACACTCCCTGTAGGGCACAGGCAGATCTAAGTGGATTTCTGCTAAGAAAGAATGAAGGAGCTTCATGATGCTTAGCCTGTCCCTGAATTTGTTGTTCTCAGGGAACTTGAGAGCTAGTGAAGGAAGCACTCAGTGAGGCAAGAGAAACCACCTCCTGGGTGCTGAGGAGTTACATATTTTTTTTCTTTTTTCAATCATTTGTCCCTACAAATGGTAACTAGCTGCATTGTAGGCTGGGTGCCAATAAGAGTTCAAGGACAAAAGTTCAATTTCCAGATGGGACACTACTTTTTTAACTTTTCACATTTGATGTTTGTTTGTGTTTGAGAGGGTGGTTCTATTAGACCTGCCCTTTTGTTCTTTTTCTTGGGTTAGTTGAAAGTATTTTTTTGAATCTTTTTCCATGAAGCTGACTTGTCAGGCTTCACAGTACCATAGGTGGTTTGTATCATTTCCTTCCAGGTAGGACAGAGCCACTGAGATATCAAATGATGTATATTTATATTTTTGTTTAGTTTTGTTGAACATGCATGTTATTTTGCTCTGGAAAAATTATTAAGCCAGAAGAGTTTCAAAGTGTTAAAACAATAAAAACCATCCTACTTCTGCTAGTTTCTGAAATTTCACAGTTAAATGCTAAGAGGGATTGATTCTAACTAGACTGCCATAGTGATGGTCAAGTTAATATAAATCTCACAGTAGACCAAGGGACAAGGGCTATGGAAGAACAAGAAACCATGATTCTGGCAGTACCACTAAGAGCCATGGCCATTGTAGGGGGAAAACTGGAGCAGCCAAGAGAAAACTGGAGCATATTTTTTTCAACAATGAGATTATCTAGCTCTGTACATAAGCTAACAACATACAAATGCCTTTTAAAAAAACCTACATCAATCTTAATTTTCAAAGTATTTGGTACAAATGTTTATAACACAATTATTTAGAAGAAAAATCTTCCATTTGAAACAGAGCTGTGGATTAATTGGGGTTATTATGATCTACATGTATTAAAACTACAGTATTATTAGGCATTTCCTAAGTCAGATCAAACTGAATTTAAGAACTCTTTTGACCTTGTCTCTCTGAGCTGTCCCATATACCTATAATGTCTTTAAATCTTGACAGTACATTTTTACAACTTCAACCTAAACAGCCCCTAGAAGTGGGAGTTCACTTATGTTTTGTTTTGTGCTATTTGTATAAGTTTTAATTTTCCCCTGTAACTTCTTGGGTAAGAGTTATTATCTCAAAGTTGCATCATTTAAAATTCATTGAAATTCCTTTCTAAATAGAAGGAGAATAAAGACATCTCCAGCATACAATTCTATTTTCATTTCTTGACTGTATAGTTTAGCAGTGGTCTACAATGACCATTCCAATTTAAATGCTGGAAAAATACTGACCAAGACACTGTGAAAAAGACACTGGAAAACAGAGACCCATTTTGAAAGCCATGCAGATAGGAAGTGATTTTTAGCCCCAAGAGGATTTGGTACCCTCTATGGCTCTTTCTAAGTAGCATCTGCCCTGGTGGATTCTGACCATCCTTTTGATTTAACACAGAAGGAGGTTTGTTCTACCTTTAAAAGCACATCCTCTCTCCCCCACCCCCCTCAGACTCCTAAACAAATGGCTGCTAAAACAAGACTGGGGTTGTTTTCTTACTGAAATCCATTGTTTATCCAGTCCTTCCTTTTTCAATTCTGAGTTTAGCTAACCTAGGAAAACATATAACTTCTCTAATTTCTCACAGAACAATAAAAACAGTTGGTTCTTCAAATCAACATTATTTTCTGTATGAAAATAAAAAAATATGACTTCTAGTCCTTTGATATATTTACAAACTATATTTTAAACTATGAGATTCTTAGTGTGCTTGTAGAACAAACTGAAAGGATAAGAAAATGTGGTTCAATTCAAGTGTGCAAAGCTCTTGGTGAAGGGTACTTCAGTATGGACAGGAGCACAAATACTTTTAAACAAGTTGAATGATCCCCCCCACAACCCGCCCAACCACACTACATTTTCTAACTGAAACATCTAATGCATTCATATTCAGAAAGCACAATTAAAAGGACTGTTTTTGTTTTGCTTTTTTGGTACTGGAGATTGAACTCAGAGCCTGGAACTCTACCACTGAGTACACCCTCCAACCCTCAAAAAGAACCCTTATTAAACCTTCACACACAGATTATATAAACTCCTACAGCGGACCCAGCCCTACCACATATTTAAGACATGACCATTCTGCCATCAATTAGGTTATGTTCTAGATATTTTGAAATCAGATGTCATTACTACTGATTTCCGAAAGCATTATCTTGATCATTAGATTTTCATAATTACACAATTCTGAGCTCTTAGCTTTTTAAAAAATTCTGTTCTACATATACTATATGTCTAAGGAAGAAACCTCAAAAAAAAAAAAGTAATATCAGAGTTTAATTTCAACAATGAAAGTGTCAGACCTCCTGAAAATGCCCTGGGAATATTGACTGTATTCTTAATGTTTTCCTCTCCACCATCCTTTTTATCTTTTCTAAGATTAGAACTTACTAGGGAATAGGTTTTTGGGAAAATGACCTACATTCAGAAATGTCTTAGAGCAAGTATTTAAAAAAACTAATAAATAACCATAAACCAAAATACATTAAAATAAAATTACAGTACATCATAGCTTCTAGACGGTCCACTAAATTAGAAGATCCTTTCAAAGGTTCATAAATAAAGTCTTCTTGACTCAAAATCGATCCCTGCGTTGTGATGAAGAATATGCAGAAAACTAAGAGGAACTGCAAGTTATCAGGTGATGTCCAAACTACTTGGTCTGGTGCAGGGCGGGGAGACTGTTTTGTTTTTGATCCAAGTGAAGACAATAGAAATCTGCTTGTCCCACTTCCTCAAGTCCTCAAAACCTGGAAAGAAATGACACCGAATGAAGTATGTTGCTCAGAATTCTTCAAGACCCAGTTTTCTTCAGGTAAGTCCAGGGGACAAAGCATACTCAGAAAGATAATCAGATCGCTCCCAGAGTGCCAGACACACACTTGACACTGGAGCGCACACCACCCAAGGAGGAGTCAGGTTGGGCATGGAGGCGGTCTGCCTGCCTCCCTGCCTGGCCTGAACAACCCCCACCCCCCCAATCCTCCCCTCTCTGCCAGGCCATTCCTGGATCCAGCTTAATGTCTTCTTTCCATCTCCCCCAAAACTTGGAATGATTTCTCATTTTCCCACCTAACAGCCAAACCTGTGAACAAGTTCCTCTCAACACCCCCGAGATCCCACTCCTCTGTGGCCCAAGTTGCGAAGACCTTACCTTGTCTGGCCCAAGTACTGCCCCCTTCAGGCAGAGTTGGAGGTGCTGCGGAGAAGCCGGTGGCCGAGTGGCTGCGAGTGCTGTTGCGAGTGCGTTTGTTGGTGCGGATGTTGTAGTTGGTGAGGATGAGGGTGCGGGTGCGGGTGCTGATGAGGATGCGAGTATGGATGAAGCTGCTGAGGCTTGGGTTGGGGCTGAGACTGGAGTTGGAGTTGGGGTTGGGGTAGGGGTAGGGGTTGAGGTTGGGGTTGGGGCTGGGGCTGGGGCTGGGGCTGGAGCTGGGGCTGGGATTGAGGCTGGGGCTGAATCTGTGGCTGCGGAGGTTGCTGCTGGACCAGGTGCTGCTGCTTCTGCCGCGTGGACTTGACCGCCAGGATGGCCTGACGATTCTTGTACTGCACCATCTGCAGAGTGATCTCGGCGTTCCAACCTTGGTCCTGCGGGCACCGAAAGTCAATTTCCTTGCCCTCTGCCATCACCACAGTGAAATACATATACTTGCCCTTGCGCTCCACGCAGTCTACGGTCTTCATGTTGGAAAAGTGCAATTCCTTGAGCTTGACCGGGGGCTCAAGGCTGGCGACAGCGGGGCCACTGGGTTGCGACGGCTCAGCCGTCCCCTGCCCGGGTTGTTGCTGCTGCTGTTGCTGTTGGTGTTGCAGCTGCTTGGGCGGGATAAGTAGCAGCCCCTCCTCAGTGAGGATGCAGCACTTTTTCTTCCAGAGCTGCAGCAACCCGTCGCTGCGCTTCTCCAGTACGCCCTCCTTCAGTGCCTTGCAACCGCTGCTCTCCAGCATCCTCCCGGCATAAGGGGGGCCACCGCTTGGCTCGGCCTCTCCTCTTCCTGCCGCCCGGGCTGGGGGCAGCAGTAGCAGCCGCGCGCCGTCCTCGCCCCAACGGCTCCCACGGCCGCCTGCCCGGAGTGCGCAGAGGAGGCTAACACGTAGGAGGCAGAGCGGTGGTGGCGGTTCTGAGTCCCGGCAAAAGGGCAACCGCGTCCTGATACGCCACAAGGTCCTGGAGCTGCGAGCTGCCTGGCTTTTGCCGTCCTCTTGCGAGCGCTCACTGAAGGGCACTGGCCGGGCCCCCTCGCGGCGCTTTTGAATGGGCCATCCTCCCCACCCCCGAGTGACACCCAGCGGAAAAGGCGGCTCCTGGCGCCCGCACCGCGGGGGAAAGCCCAACTCCGAGAAGCGCTCGGCTGCCGGCGCACGCCTCATTAACTTGGGGCCTTCCCAAAGCCGGCCGCGAACACGCCCCCTGCTTCCCTTGCTCCGCCTCTCGACACCAACTTGCTTCAGTGCTTCCTCGCCTGGAAGGCAGCACGAGCCCGAGCCCGAGCCCCGGAAACTCCTCTACTCCGCCCTAGGCGCCCCAGCTGCCTAGCGACTGATGCCAACGCCCAAATTGCGCTGAAAGGCCAACCCCTCTGTCCCGCCTTTCCCTGGCCCACGGGTCCCTCTGCTAACAGCCTCAGAAAGTGAGGATGTGGCGGCGAAGGCGGGTAACAGCTACCAAGCAGTGCCGGGAATACAAAGCCCTCTACCCTGGGGAACCAGCCCTAGGGTTTAGCGCCTCTGAGATCCCGCAGAACCAGTTTCTTGGTGAGGAGCAGGGAGACTGAAAACAAAACTGACCTTAACACACTGCGAAGTATTTCCGAAGCGTCTGCCCCAGACCCGTATGTAGTGTACAAAGGCCCAATAGGACATCGTACTTTTTTGTTCAGTCATTAAATAGCTCTTGGAATAAATGTGTTAAAGCAATAGGGCTACCGCCTTTTTATTTTAGTAAGGGCAGGAAAAGGTGGATGCATTTGCAAAGGCAGCATTTTCCCCTCCTCTCTTCGACCCCAGACGACAGGTAGTAGCTAATTTCCCCTATTCAGAACACAAGCTTTCTCCGTTCCTTGACCATTCAGCCTGCAACATCTCAGAATAGTTACTCAACCAACTACAAACAGGAGAAAATGCTCCGAGATCCCACACTTCTGAGGTACAGCTTGATCTTCCAAACGCCAACTGGCCCTTCCTGTCCCTTTGTACAAAGGCCTAATGGGTCAGATCTATCGGGAATCTCTGTGAACAGAGAAGGTAATGTCCTACCAGACCCCAGCTCCCTCAGCGTCTACTGCTTCTTGAGAAGTGTATAAACCGAGATCTAGCTTCTGTTAGGGAAACTCACCAAATAAACAGGGAGCGCCAAGTATGCACCGACCCTGAGGAAGATAATTTCGCAAAAAAGAAAAATGAAGGCGGGAGCGGGGGCTAACAGGTCCAAGTTAGCTAGGGTAAGAGAAATGGCTACTTCTGTGGCCAAAGTAGAAGGGGTAGTTTAGCTCCGCTTCTAGTCACATGGCTATAACAAAGAATTCAAGAATAAAGAAGCTTGCAAAGCTGAGCAAATCATAATTCTTTATGTGTTAAGAAATTCGAACAAATTGAGAGACAATCAAAACAAAGGATGTTTTAAGTGAAGGAAAGTCCTGAATCTTAATCTTAAAATAACACTTGTATTGGAACATGGTTCTGCACCCATTAAATTGCACTTGACCAGATCTCAGGGCTTTCACATAATTGATTTAGAAGCCTTTAAAGGAGAAGGGCAATTACTGAAATTTTGTAAAGATTTCTAATAATATCATGTTAAAGATTTACAATTCTATGTATCAATGACAAACACTATATCTAACATCTCAATTTGTTTCATTCTTTGTGGGACAACTGAGCATTCCAGAGAATTTCTACATGACCAGCTGTTTATCCTTTTAACAGAATGACATTCTTTAGCTCATTTAGAAAAGATATGTCCTTTAAATCTACAATCTCTGAGGGCAGGTGTCATTGACAAAGACATTTCATAAGGAAAAACATAAAGTTGACTGAGTAAAAAATGAGATGTAATCTGAAACCCAGGCCATTTTTTTTTTTTTAGGAGAAAACTCCAGTGTTTGGTGTTAACCTTCTGCAACTTATGAAAATGTAACAAATACATTCTATTCTCCTATATTAGGGCTTGACTAATATTTGAATTAAAAAGCCCTACTTGTTATAACAAGAAACTTTTAAAACTCAGAATTTTCCATTGGCTATTTCACAATTACAAGTACCCAGTTAATATTATAGACCTAATTTTATTAGGTCAAATGAGTCTATAACGTGCTCTAACCACATGCATAATTGGAAAACTTTGTATAAGAACCTTGTATACTGATGACAACTTTGCTCTTATTTCATCACCACCAACTCACTTCTTTCCTTCTTTGTTTAGTACTGGGGATTGAGCCTAGGAGTGCTTTACTACTGAGCTAAATTCCCAGCAAGGCCAAGGCCCACCCTTTGAGACAGGGTCTTGCTGGTTTACATCAGTTGCCCATAGGACAGTGTTCATTTTTACCCCATGGATAAAGTTCTCTACTTCAATGGCATCATTCTCAACTTTGTTCCTCCTGTCTGGTCACTATCTCCTAAGTTGTTCCTCTTCTCCCAAGTCTTTGAATATTGAAATACCCCAGATCCTAGTCCTGGTTCTCTTATTTATACTCATTCCCTTTATCTAAATCAGACTCATCACATGCCCCAAAGTCCCAAATTTACATCCCAAATTGTATAAGCAACATCCAGTTGCTATTGTCAAAGAATAAAACAGACTACTAAAGTTTAACAAAAAAAATTAATATGCCAGGTAAGGGAACACTTAGGAAGAACATTCACTGAGCCATTCACTAAAGTATGAGGGAAGCTTAATTTATAAAGCTTTTTACCAAAAAGAAAAACATAAAACTCAAAACATTCTACCTAGAAGGAAGAGGAATCAACAGATTTACACACAATTGAAACAGATTCCTGGCTGGGTATAAAGGCTGAGGCAGGAGGATCTCAAGTTCAAGGCCAGCCTCAGCAACATAGCAAGACTGTCTCAAAACGTAAAAGTCCTAGGGCTTGGAATGAAGCTCAGTAAAGCACCCCTGGGTTCCATCTCCAGGACCTCACCCCCTGAAAAGATTCCTAGATGAAACTGGTTCAAAAAAGTCTGGAGAACCAGGATCACTAAGTTTACGGTATTAAAACAGCTTTAGCTGATTAGAATGGCTATATGTGAAAAACTGCCTTCAGTTTGGATAGATTTCAGGCTAGCACTACTCCAAGTTTGAGTTGTTTTTCTTGTATTTCTCTTTAATATTAACTGGGTACTTACTGTAGAGCTCAACATATGGTCTTCCAACATGTTTTATCTACAGCCCCCTTCTCAGGTGATGGTGATCAATCTGTACAGCTGATCAAGTCAAAAACCTTGGACCAGGTTTGCCCTTACCCCAGGCCAAGAGGAGCCCTAGGCTTTTTAAGTATTATGTACTTCAGAGTAGTCAAAATGGCATGTCCATCTCGAATACATATTCTACACTCCAGGCACTTGAGACTCCAAATGACCTCCAAACTGTTCCAGGAAATGCAGTTACCACTGTGTACATGGACAGTTCTATTACACAGGCAACAGTGTCCCCCCAAACATGCAGGAGGCTTTTTGAAACCATTCACAGCTTAGGGGGGGAACAAATGAAAAATGGGACATGGGCTGAGAATCAGATCTGCTTATAAGTTACATTCTGGTGAAAATTCAAACCTGGCTTTCCAGGTTTTTACAAAGGTATGTTTGTCAAAATTGGACATATTTTTATTTAACAAAATGCTTAAATATTAAATACATGATACCTGCTTTATACTCTTACCTCAGGACTGCAAATGTGTTAGAAGCATGTCCACCTTCCAGTAATCATTTCTCTCAATCTACATTTACACAGCAAATTCCATTGGTTGTACTTCAAAACTATATCTGGATCTGATTTCATCTTCTCCATAGATTACTATAATGGCCTACTAATTTTTTTCCTTGAGTTTATCATTGTCTTACAATGTACTTTAAACACAGGAGTCATCCCAAGCACAAGACTTTACTCAAATGTCAGCTCCTCAATGTGGCCTATCCTAATCACTTAAAATTCCAACCACCTGATTCCCATATAGTATTACCTTCTAACATATTACTGAATGATGATCATTGCATATTTGTTTCCTTTTTTTGAATATACACTCTACAAGGTAAGGGTCAGTTTCTGATGTGTTCCAATCACTTGGAACAATTTTTGGCACACGGGTGCTCATCACAAGGAAAAATTGTTTAGAAGCCTAGCATAAGATCACTTTATGCTTTTGATAAGTCTTACAAGGCATCCTACTTTAAATGTTACCCCAAAACAAAAAACAACAAAAAACTTCCGAACTTGCCATACCAATATATATTTGGTATATTTTTAAATGGCCAACTACAACACATACTAAGCCCATCATCTTAAATGCTACTATATTCCCTAGATGCTATCTAAATATACCCCACAAAACTGTGAAAAATACTAAGAAGTATCTACTGTTGTCCAGTAAGAGTAATTGAAAGGAAGAGAAACTAAATTAGTACAACTAACCAAATATTTGCTTAGAAGTCCATTACCAACATGGTTAGATATAGAACTTGCAAAGTTAGATTTGGATAGAACAAAGATTGAAATAGTTAAAAGCAGCCAGGCATGGTGGAACAAGCCTGTAATCCCAGGAGTTCCAGAGGCTGAAGCAGGAGGAGTCCAAATTCAAAGCCAGCCTCAGCAACTTTTCAAGACCCTAAGCAACTTAGAGGACCCTGTCTCATAAAAAGCCTAAAAGCCAATATTCTATAAAATCAGGTCATCCTAACTGATGTACCAAAGCATAACCAGTCTCACATTCTGAATACAACTTAGACTTATTTATAATGAACTAGCCATTTTCTTCATCTTCCAAAATACCATTCCAAAATATAGATTAATTCCCAAAATGCCTTGGGTGGAAGGTAACCTTTAACATTATCTAGACTTCTTAGATATATTTGGTTGACTGCTTTTCTAGCTCACTAGTTGATGAACCAACGCCTCCTAGTGACCAATTTGTGCAATACATCTGAACATAAGGAAGGCTGGTGCTCATTTTTAAGATGCTATCATAATCTACTTATTATGTCAATTAGCTTTCTCTACATTTCTGTGTTGCCAATAGCCCAATTCTGATTTACAGTCTCAAAAGGCCCCAAAACTTGGTTCATAGGATTATATACATTGCCCCCCCCCAACTTAGATACTGTTAAGTTACAATTACTTCCCATTGTGGAACATCCTAATTCCTTACCCTTGCATGGAAAGCCCTCACAG